ACTTAAAACTGTTCCAGACCACATTATAAATTGAATAATCTATCTGTATAACTTTTAATTCCTCTTGTTAATACGAGTTTACACCGTTGTGTACCTACATTAACCTTCGAACCTCCTCACTTGAAAACCACTCTTGTAATGTCCTTATGTTCTCTTTTAGAATTTTCAAATGAAACTTCATCCAATAAAGACACAAATTTGTGATGTATACATATACAGAGCACTTGTCAGATGACCATACTTGGGAAATAGGACTATAACGGTACTCATTGTCCCAACTCTGTGCAACGTGTTTTAGTGCATGATGTTTACTGAGACAAATAATTGATAAGGTACTAGTTTTGTCCTGAGCAGAAATGAAAGATACTTAGTACCTGCAGATTTGATATCTGTTTGTCTTTTCATGTTTGAAGTTTGAAATAAGTGCACATGAACAGTATGGTCTTCCATTGTTAAGTCATTAGCAAATCATCTACTGTGTGCCCATAACTCTGCCTGCTCTTTTACTGCAACAAGCTGTTGAAGGTTAATTAATAAGCTATGGATTCTTTCTATCTGTTCAGAGAATGTTTGATTTCTAGCCAGTAACTTTTTACTTGCTACGCCAAAGACGGATCCAAGATTTAAACTTATTTCGGCCTTTGAGATTTTTAGCAGTGAATTTATTAGTCAATTTATATTCCATACCAAAAAGTTATATTTGCTTTTGTACTATATGAACAGTAACAAGTACAATTGTATTTGTGTTTGGGACCCCATGGCTCCATCCCTGGGGCAGTGTAATATATTTGATTTTTCTTTTAAAAAAAATATACATATATGTTGAGTTTGCAAATACTTTGTCACAAGAGCATAATAGTTTAAATTGCTATTCTGCATCTTATAATTTAAATTTTTGAATTTTTTTTTCCCGCAAAGTCACGAGTTTACTATGAGTAAATCATTGAAGACTTCAGTATATTTGTACCTTTTCGTTTTGCATTTAGTTTTCTTTTTTCATGTGGGTACGGGGCAGAGATAGGAATAGGATGAATTCAATAAACTTGTACTTAGACTTGGTATTAGTATCAGAAAATTGATTAAATATGTATAAACATATAATTGTAAACCTAATAACTAAGGCAGAGTTTTGGGTTCGTGATAAATTCACAACTTAAATTTTTTAAATTCTGACTCTGCCTCGATAGGTAGGCATCTTGTTCTTGAAAGCGAATGAAGATTGATGCAATACGTGTCTGTTGTATAACCTCATGTTCAATATTGGACCTCAATTATATTTATAATCATTTTTTGAAGTTTATTACAATTTCACCAGAAAGTAAAGATTAGGTGTCCTCGTCAAATATTAATGAAATGGAAAAGAAAAAGTCCCACAATTAGATATTTTATGCTGGTCATTATTTCCCAGTGTCACTCTCTTAAACGTCCTAATAAAAGACTGTCCTTATTGAAAAGAGCTTTAATTTAAGGAGTATAGCTTCCAGGAAGATTAAAAAAAACGAGCGATAATCACCCGGTACGTGGCAAATGCATATTCCGTTATTTTTAATTAAAGATGTCAGATTTTGAGTCTTCGCTATAACTCATCTTTTGTAGAAAATATTTAACCTCAAAGTTAGACTTCACGAGCGAATCTGAATTAGTCTACCCAAAATAAGTTCCAAAAATCGCTAGAGGTCTCGGGTCAAACTCTAAGTATGAGATAACCTATGACAGAGAGCATTTTATCTTCAAATTAGACTTTTCGAACCGAATCCAAATATTTAATTTCTTCTGCAAAACAGATGTGTTTGGTGACATTTGATCAATGCAACCCCCCCCCCCCCCCCCCCCCACACACACACACACACAAACTTATTTCATGCTATTCAATAAAGGAAGAAAGGGAAGGTATTGGTGATTTAATTAATATATTAATTTGTGTATTAATATGAGACAAAAAATAAAAATAGAAGATTTTGGGAGAATTCCTCGTATTCGGACTTAAAAAGAAATGTAATTTATTAATAATGAAAACAAACAGCGCCTTGTCTCAACAATTATTAAGGAAAAATATGCTCCAAAAATCTACACACTACAATTAATGTTTGTTGGTGCAATATAATCAAATGGTAGCTGACACACAATGTTTATACATCGTATTTATTCTTTCATTTCTTTTTCCACACGTAGAATTATATAATTCTTAACATATTAATCTTCACTACTGATTAATCATGTCTTTAATATATTACAAAAAAAACGATAAAGGAACGAAATGCTATAATTTATATATATACTCCAACAACTATTTTTGAATGCCAATTTTTTAAGCAGACGTGTGGATTTGAAAAGATACTTTAAAAGGGGTCTTATACGGCCGTGACATGACTTAATTTTTATGGACAAAAAATTAATATCGTATTGTGATAAGGGAGATGTATTGGGTTAATTGTGATTTTTTCTTCATTATTTTTTTCTTTTAAAACTTGGGTTTGATGTACTTGAGCCGAGGGCCTTTTGAAGACAGTTTCTCTACCTCCACAAGGTCGTGATAAGATCTGCATATACTTGATCCTTTTTAGACTGCACTTAGTAGAATTTTACTGGATATGTTATTGTCGTAGAAGTACGAGACATTACACAAAAATTCAATTCACAAACTTATCTAAGATTTTACCATTGCAACATTACACAAGTGAAATGAATTATTTAAAATGTTGAAAGGAAGTAGGTTTCAGTGTTATGTTACCATGTGGCTTTCCAAAAATAAATAATATAATAAGCTCATATAAATACTTTCCCACCAAATTTGTTGTCAAAATTAATTAAAGAAGTTAGCTAGGGAGGAAAAGATAAGGGGACATGAAAAAGAAGTTTGAGGATGATGCACATGCATATAGGATAGGAAAGACAAATTATCTCCCCCCTACTTGCTCAATCCCAAGCCCAATTTTTATTTGTTGATTATGACTTATGAATGAATTTAATATTATATTATATTGTGCAAATATTTATTTTTCTTTTTGGGTTAGAAGAAAGTTATGTACAAATTAGTAAATATAGGTAATAGGGGATGTTTGATTGTTGTTTTAAAAATTATTATAAAATTATGATTTTAAAATAATAATGCAGAAATTTATGTGGGAAATATTATTTCCACAACCCAAACCAAACGGCCCCTTAATGACGAGAGGGAGTTTCTCGGATGATAAGCACCCCTCACTTCCAACTCGAAGGTTGCAAGTTCGAGTCACCAAGGGAGCAAAAGGGGTGGGAGCTCCTAGGGAGGGTAAAAAAAAAAACGGCCCCTTAATTTTTGGGCCATTGCACTTTTGTCATATTTTGTGTTTGTCATTTAATTATGTCCCTCGTAACGAATAATTTTTTTATTAGACATAAGTTTATATTTTCGTATCGTAATACCTTATAAACTATGCCTTAGCATGACTTCAGTTTCTAAGAAGCATATGCTTCACTAGCTAGTCATAATGCATAAGTTCGAATGCTAAAAGGTAAAAAATAACAAATAAATCCATTTGAAGAATAAAAATTAAAAGTTAAGAGTAACTTATTTAAAGGACAAAATGCGTAATTTTATGCTAATTTATTGCTTAGACAAATCAGTAACCATACAAGTGTTACCAAATTGAAGTTGCCATGCAGCAAGTCTTCTATTTTCTTTTTTTGTTCCTTTGTTGCTTCTTTTAGCTAGGTTGCTCTTAATTAGCTTGAACAAAACAACAAAATCTATCAGGACCACATTCTATACAAATCTAATCCTTGTTTTTTTCCCCATTAATTTAAGTTCAATTTAAAAGAATATATTCATGATCAGATCAGTTATAAGTCAATTACAAGCAATTTTTTGCAATAAGCATTAATAAGTCACCTAATAGAAATCGTAACTATTGAGATCATGTTCACCTCTTGAGTGAAACAAAAATTAAATTTGATTGTCCAACTCAGACCTATATGACATAAAGATCAACAAGTTCATCTTTGTTATATATTTCATACATTATCCTAGATAGACATCATACATAAAATAGGACCTGCTTTTAAGATATCTTGATTTAATAACGTATTTAAAAATTTCACGAATGATGTTCAAAAATGTGAACATGTGGAATCGAACTTGAGTGACCTTCAATTTGTTGAATTGCAACCTTGCTACTGAGTTGTTGTTCTCTCGTGTGTAATGCGAAGGCAAGGAATCGAACCTAGGTACCATATCAATATGTGCACACTAAGCTACCGATCTCTATTGTTTCAAAGGGTGTTCTAAATCCTATATATATCAATATAAAGTAAAATTTCACTTGTATAAACAATATAATTTTTCGATAAAGAATATTTTGGTGACCATCCTTACACAACTATAGTTTTGTTCCTGCCTTGATGATAAGTCTGACATCACTATAACTCTGCCCCTGCCTTGATGGTAAATAGTATACACGCGAGACTCAAAATCTCATGCTAAAAAGGGTTGGAGGCTCAAGAAATTCTCACTAATGGTAAATCATCTTCAAGACATTAATATTGAGAATGTCTATCAACACAAGTTAAACTACATTAACCGTATAAAAATATTTATATTGTTCGTATATATAACTTAATTATTTTTTCCATGAGGTGGGACCACTAGAAGCCACCCACCTTCTCAAGGCTTGGTAGCTTTAACTATTAAAATAGCTAGCTAGCTAGCTCACTCATTGACTCTAGATATTGACTCTAGATGCATGGTCACAAAAAAGGTTAGGTAAAAAATATTTGAAAAAATCCAATTCTTGCACAAAAAGTGAATAATTTTTTTGTCTTTTCTCCAATTCCCCCATCCCTTTAAATTTAAATTTGCAGCACTATTCTGATCCAAACAAACACTTTGTATAATATAGACATAGATGCCTATATATTGATTATCTCTCCCAATTAATGCCCAAAATTCCATATCCTTTTGCCTTTTCTACCCATTCTCATTTAGTCATTTCAAAATTTATTACTACCAACATAGCTTTAGCTTAGCTTACTTCAAAAAAATATGTCAAAACAACTTGGACAATTCCTTCAAGAACAACAAGAACCATTTACCTTACAAATCTATCTTCTTGAAAGAGGTCAATTGAAAAACAAACATCTTATTTCGGATCGCGATTTTCGATGTTGTTCTACAAATTCTAGTACTTATTTGTTCTTGAAGAGATCAGCTAGCTGTGGTGCAAAGAAGAGAAGGAAACAGATTCTTAATTGTTCAAAGATTGTGAAATCTGTGTTTAATAAACTTGTTACATTTAGCCATAATAAAAAAATCAAGAATTTGGCAAATGATCAAGAACACAACAATTCTACAAGCAAAAATAGTAATGTTATTGCAAATGATGAGAAAATTTCTTCAACAAGTAGTAGGACTGTGTTCAATTCTTGTTATGATTCTAGTGATGCATATGACAACTTTCTACATGAAAAACAGGTAAAAACTCTGTTTTTATGACATTTAATATAGGTGAAATTCGTCGGAAAAAAATAGTTATACAACTTTACTAGCGACTGACATAATAAAAAATAGTTTTGTGACTTTAGTGTGATTGAATTCAGATTGGTTGTTGATAAGGTAACAGGTTTTTGAAGAGAGAAGAAAGTTAAGGTTGGAATTTCTTGAAGAAAGTAAGCAACTCAGTCCTGTGTCAGTTCTAGAAGAAACTGAATCTTCTGATGATGATGATTCTCCACATGTTAAAAGTAAGTAGTACTACTTTCAACTCTCGTTAAATTATAGATTTTGAAGTTGGTAATTTGAATTTTTAATGATTGATGTTGTGATTTTTTGAAATTTGAAGTCGTGTTTGGATATGCATTTTACATGAAAAGATTTGAAGTTTCGTAAGTGAAAGTTTCAAAAATCCAAAAACTGATATATGTCAGACCAGTTTCTAGGAACTTGAAAATATTTGAAGATTCAAATTTCATGATTAAACAGATTTACAACAACATACTCAAATTAGCCCTGAGTTTTGGAAAGAGTACAATATACACAGATCTTGACATGTAGAAAAATAGATATATTTAAGATAAATTCTCATAATCTATGATAAAATAAATAAGATATTTACAGTTTCTTGCATATATGTTCCGCTCTACTTTGCTATTAGGTCATGTTTCTCTCCACTATCATTTTCATTTTTATTATTGTCTTAATTTGCTTGAGTCGAGTATCTTTTGAAAACAGTCTCTACCTCATAAAGATAGTAATAAGACTTGCATATAGACTATAATACTGTGTGCATTTACATTTTACAACAACTTTGACCTAAACTTATATGAAAAAAAAAAAATAACAGAACAAGAATGTGTCAAGGCAAAGAAACAAGAGGAATTTCCAAGTCAATCAGTTTCAAATTCAGAAGAAACAAGCCACGAGTCTCAGTACATTAAGAACAAGAAAGCAATACAAGAATCAAGACAACTCCTTTTTGATTGTGTTAAAGAAGTGGTGGAAAATCAAAAAGGGAAAGAAGAAGAATTTCAAAGAATTTTAGGAGCTGAGCAACTATGGGAGAGTCTATTACAAAATATTTGGTTATGGAGCCAAGAATCCATAAATGAAACTAATATCAAACAATTAATTCCCATTTCTAATGTGTTGAGTTCTTTTGAAGAGTCAAGTGGAGTTGAGGAGAAAAGGGAAATAGGTAAGGTGGTTGGTGATTTAATTTTTGTTGATATTAGTAATGAGATTGTATTAGATATGTTAAATTATTCTTCTTTAAGATGAATTTAGTAGAAAAAATGAAGTTAAAATCATACTACAAGTTTTTATAATAAGTGTCTTTGTCTATTTTTTGTTAGTAGTTGCTATTGTGCAAGCTGTTGGAAAGGTTTAACAACTCATGCTATTTACCAACTCTAGAATATATATTATTCCTAACTAGTAAAATCCAATGACTTCATCATTGCCAATTATTAAGTGTTTCTTATCTCAAATTCGAGTCCTGGATATGAATTTTATTTTGTTATGGAGCATTTACTCCTTAATAGGCCTTACGCAACGCATATTTGGACTAGTCGATAACTTAAATAATTGATAAACAAGACTTATGAGTTATGAGTATATAACATTTGCTAGAAAAGTATCGTCCAAGTGAAAGTTAAAAACTTGTTGATATGAAACCTTGACCATTCTTAGTGAACTTACTTGACGCAAATCTCAAATTAGTTCGGCTGATAAAAAAATTTAAAATTGTCAATATACACAAACTAACCTATATATGCAAAAATGTGAAATTAAACTGAATTTGAGCAATTCTTTAAAAGTCATCCTTTGGGAGTAAGTTTTGGAAAGAGCTAAAATTGGGGATAATGGTTGATTACGATGTTTGAACTGCCAAATTAAAGTATCAATTTAAATTTAAGTCAAATATGATCACTAATTGACCTCTCATATCAATGAGACAAAAGTTACGTTTGGTCAAATTCTTCAAAAAAAATGTAACATCCGGTAGGTTGAAATAACTATGAAGAGGCTTAAAAATCGG